GGGTTAAGGTGAGGGAAGGGAGGGGGTTGAGGTGTGGAGGTCAGAGAGGGCAGAGATTTGGTTTGTCGGGCGTTCAAAGGGGCAGGAAAGCAGCAGGAGGGGAGCAAGGCAGTACGGCAAGGCGCGCATGGTCAGAGGTCCTGAGGGCGGGGAGCAGACGGGGACGAGGCCGGCCAAAGCACAGCTGAGACAACGGATGTTTCCGAGGGGTTGATGCCGGCAAATACCTCACAGTCCAATGCGCATTGCTTCATGTATTGCTCGCTTTCCCGGCAAGACCAACATGTGCGTTCCAACCTGTTCTGCTGAAGCCAACCCTCCCCCTCCCTAGCGCCAAAGTGCGCACCCGCCGGCGGCGGCCACCGCAGATGCGATGCTCCCCAGCCGCACGGCCCTCACAAACAGGTAAAACGTTGCCAGCAGCGCAAAGATGGCGATGCACTCATTGTCAAAAGAGCCAGCCACGCTGCGGGACACGTAGCCTGGGACGACGCCCATGAGGGCGGCGGCGACGAGGCCAGTGCCGGTGCCGTTCAGCTCCTTGCCGAAAAGATAGGCCACCATGGCCTGGTGTGGGTGGAATGCATGTGTGTGTGTGTATGTGTGTGTGTGCGCGCGCGCGCGTGTGTGCGTGCGCGCGTGTGTGAAGGTGTGCGCATGTGTGAGGGTGTGCACGTGCATGCGTGTCTGCAATTAAGCATGAGCGCCGCATGCCTGCTGGGACGCATGTGTCTGTGCTTGTGTGTGTGAATGCATGCGTGAAATTGTGCGCGTGCTGGGCATTCCCCACTCCTGCCACGGCACAGCAGGCACGCACTCTCAACCAGCCCTCCCTGCATTAAAGCCGCTGCTGTATCGCACCGTGTTGCCAGCAAAGAGCGGCCCCATGAGGACACACACATCGCGCAGCTGCAGGGTGGCGGTGACGGCCTTGAGGCCGTTGAAGATTGCGGCTGCAGTGATCATCAGGCCTGGGTAGCTGTTGATTTGAAGATTCGAACGCGCGCACGTGGCGCCCAAGGTGGGCGCAAGGGGGGCGGCAAGAGGACGGATCAGTCAAATGTAGAGGGCGCCTGAGCTGTCCTTGTCAGGGGCCCAGACAAGTGAAGTGGCAGCTATTCATCAACACACAGTCGGTGTGGCCTGTAAATGCAGGCTGCTGCCCCGGTGAGCGAGCATCCCCGGTTCAATTTTGACGGATCGCTGCGAGGGGCGCGCCGTGCAGCACAGATGTGGTACGGAGCTGCAGGGGGTGCTCACACAGTGCCCCCGACGACGCGGCCCAGGGGGTACCAGCTGTCACTATCAAACCAGTTCTGGGCGGATGGTGCGGGAAAAAATGGGCCAGAGTGAGTGGCATTGGGTGGGGTTGTGCGGCCACATTGCAAACGAGGTGCCACGCCTTGATTTGGGGATGTTGAGGTAGGGTCATGCTTTGATGCGCCAGGCGTCAAGGGAGCCGATTGCTCGGCTGTCGACGGGTCTGACCAGCGAGCCGCACATGCAGGCGGCGCCGTGGATGCTGCGAGCGCCACAGCCGCTGCAGAAGGAGCTGCCACCGCCTCAGCAGAGCGGCTGCCTCACCCAGAACTCGTGGAAGCCCTCTGAGACGAGCTTGATGGTAGACCGGTAGTTGAAATATGGGTCTGGGCCGGCAGGGGGCGAAAGGGTCATGGCGTGAGCCAGGGGTGTCAGGCGTCAGGCGGGCGCGCACACACGTGGCGCCTTTGACGGCGGGTGCTCGCCCAGGCAGCTGCGCTGACGGTCACCACCTGGGGCCCGGGCTGCTGCAACACGGCGTGTCGCGCATAACGGCTACACACATTGACGCCTCCAAGGCATCCACATAAAATTAGCCTTAAAATCACCAGGCAGCCAACTTGAAGCCTCAAGCCAGTCGGTCACGAACTGACAGCAGCACGTGCAGGCCCCTGTAAAAAGCGCCGCCCCACATCTCGCCCCAGGCATGGGCCCTCTCACCAAACTCATGGATGACGCTCTCATATCGAAGCACGGAGAACTGCGTGCGTGTTCATGTGTGTAGACGGCATGCGTGTTTATGTGTGTAGACAGTGCAGGTGCGCGGACGGGGTCGGGAGGGGGGGGGTGCATGAACCGCAGGATTGCAGATGGAGAGCTGACATGCGCGGTCAAGTCCTGCAGGTGCCGTGGGCTTTGCATGTGCCTGCATCGAGCTGCTGCAGTTGGGCAGGATGCCCTTGTTTTGATGCAAATAGATTGCACACCCATGCGAATGGCTGCCGCCGTTGCACAACTGCTGCAAGCGCTGTGGGCAAACATGTTGCTCTTCTTCTTGTTGTGCTGCTGCTGCTGCTGCTGCTGCTGCTGCTGCTGCTGCTGCTGCTGCTGCTGCTGCTGCTGCTGCTGCTGCTGTGATGCTGCCAAGAAACCGCTGATCCTGCTGTGTTGTACAAGCGCTCACAGGCACAATTCATTGCCACACAGCTCCCCAGTCAACCACAAGTTCTCCAGGCAGCACTAATGCAGCCATTCTGGTCACGGCAGGAGTTCAATCGTGACATACCCATTGCTGTCAATCCGCCGCAAGTACCGCGCCCCCATTCACCAGTCGGATGGAGAAGGACCATAACCATATGAGGACCAGCAGCGACATGCGCAGCAACTGCTCTTGTGCCTTGGGCGACGCCAACGTGCGGCGCACCACCTTCGCAATCGTCGACATGGCGGCCACCTGCCCGACGCAGTCTTTCAAGTGAATTTCACGTCAAGGCTATATATATCCCCTGAGACACACAACTGCATGCACAACCGCCGCTGCCCGCGAAAGTTGAGTGGTATGATCTGACGGTGGATCTGAATGATTGTTGCTAAACATGATCACGGATCACGGATCACGGATCTAGATAGTAGCCCGTCATCACATGTGAACCTCAATGATTGAGGTGACAAGCGGTGCTTGCAGGGGAGCAGCAGTGTGGCGCTGGTCTGTTTTGGTACGGCGCAATCCACTGTGGAACCTCGCGTTTGCTTCGGGACCTAGCGATCCACTCAAAGTACTGAATGTTGAAAGGTGTGGGCTCCGCTCATCCACAACCGGGAGCAGCAGCTGGGTTTCGCACATCTGTGAGGTGTCAAGGTCAACACTTCCCACTGACTGCAAGTTGTGAGGGTCAGCACTTCCCACTGACTACAAGTTTCTTGCTTCGGCCTCCACCAGCACCCTTGCAATTATATAAAAGTGCATATCAGTGTTTAAGACGTCGCCTGCGCCGACGCCATGTGCCCTGCTGCCGCCTGCGCTGCCGCAGCCATCGCCGCCTTGCACTCCCGCCGGTGGCCCGCCCTCCACGCCGCCTTGTAGCAGGCGTCAGAGCAGAAGCGCGCCGCGCGGCACCCGCCGCACAGCCGCAGCCGCGCGCCGTCGGCGGCGGTCTTGCCGCACGCCCCGCAGCAGTGAGGCGGCTGCGCGGGGGTGGCACTGGCGGCAGATGCGGCGATGGCGGCAGACTCAGAGGTGGCATGGCCAGGGGTGCCAAATGGGCCCATGGACAAGCTTGGCGTTGACTCCTGGCTTTGGTTTGGCGCCCGCGGCTGCGGCGGCTCCTGCAGCAACTGCAGCAGATCGTGTGTGGCGCACACAAACACATCCTCAGGTGCGGCGCTCTCTGCAACGCCAGCTGTTGACGACGCCTGCTGAGCGCATGCATGGGTGTGCGACAGCGCCAGCGCCGCCGCGAGGCGGGGCTGCGCTGCCCTCACTGCGGCGGCGGCGCCCCTGCAGTCCTCCGCCTTGCAAATGAGCAGACGCAAAGCCTGGGTCATATCGGTCTCTGCACTGCGCTTGCTGCAGCGATTTAGTGCGGGGCAAACCGTGCACTCCAGCGCCTGCTCGAGCGCTCCGGCGACAGCAGGCATGAGGCTCGGGGCTCCAGAAGTGATGTGGCGCAGCGCAGTGGGGTCATCGGGGCTGGAACTCGCCGCCCTTAAAACGTTGTAAATGAGGCAAGCGATATGCTTCATCCGTTCAAACTTCTGTTGTGCAGCAATCTCTGACAGCTGCCGCGCCACTGTGGCCATGGCGCGGGGTGATGCCGCCATCAAGGCGGCCAGCTGGAAGCTGATAGAATCATCAGGGAGCTGAGGTTCGGCTTGGTCAGACGCCGCAGGCACCGCAAGGAGCGACGCCAACGCACAAGCGAGATTCTGCGCCTCACAGTCCTCCCGGCTTCCACCTGCATCCCGGCGCAGAAGCGCGACGAGTGACGCAGCTACGGGCGTTCGCCGGAGCGCACTGAGAGCAGCATCGTCGCGGTGCTGAATGATGATGAGGGAGAGCACCTTTGCAGCATCGCGCCTTGCACCTGGTTGGTCATGATTCAGCAGCCTTACGAGCGCCAGCAGCGCGCCAGGCACACCAGCCACCTCCTCCGCCACCCGGTGCGCACACGAGTATGCAACCACCGACATCATGGCGGTGATGAGCGACACGCAGTTGAGCATGGCCGCGGCCGCAGCCCCAGCATTGCCTTCGACAGCCCCGCTGCCGCCACGAGGCGCCGCAACCACCCTTGCTGAGCCCCGGGATAGCGCGCTCGCCAACGCCGCGGCCAGACGTGGCTTTGCAATGGCGACGGCCTGAATATGGAAGACATCCCGCACGAGCGGCAGCAAGACGCCTGTGCTGCGCCAGAGCTCCCGTGGCTCCATGCCCTGCGGACTGTCAAGGGCCGCCGCCAAGGCGCCAAGCGCGGCGCCGACCGCGTCTATTGCAACCTCTTCCCGTTTCTCGGTGAGCGCCTGCCCGCACAAACACCTGGCGAGCACGCAGAGCGCAGCGACAGCGGCGCTGGCCGCGCCGCGATCGGCCGCGGTCTCGGCGATTGGGAGCAGCGCGCCGACTAGGGCTTCTGGCTTGACGCCGGGCAGCATTTGGTCTTTGGAAGCACGGTGGCCGAAGATCTGGGCAAGGATGTGCGCGCAGCTCTGCACCACGGGCCCGTCCCGCCAGCGCCGCAGGCAGGCGTAGACTGTCATGCCCAGGTCGGGCAGGGCGGCGAGCTGCGGCCGGGCGGGGTCGGAGGCAAAACGGGGTGGTGAGTTCGGCTGCTTTGCGGGTTAGATCTGCGTCCCACGCCTTGGTTTGCGAGAGGTGGGGCCAACGCAATCAGATGGCATGCTCATTGCACGGAAAACAACCGGAGGTGATGAGTCGTTCAAGGTTGCCCATTCAACATGACACCGACTGCCGGCCGCATCAGTCCCCGCTTCCTTCACCCCACCTGAGGCACCCACGCAGCTTGGGTGGCCGCCCGCGGCATTGGATTGCCCCCGCGGTCCCCTCCCTCAAAGACGGCGTCAAGAGCCCCTGCCAAGAACGCAGCTTGTGGCTCCCATCCCTTGGACGTCGCCAGCGCCAGGTGCAGGCGCATCTCTGACAGCAGCCGCAGCTGCGCCGGCGTCAGGCGGCCCTCCAGCGCCGCCGCCGCGTCGCGCACCCGAGCAAGGGCGGCCACGCACTGCTCAGGCCACCCAACGGGCATGTGTGTGGCGGCCGCAGACGAGTCCAGCGCAAGCGCCTGCTGCAGAGCAGAGCCGAGGTCTGCAGAAGCGTGCTCGGCGGCGACAGCGCTGCTGCCCCGGACGCCTCTGCCGACGAAGCCTCCGCAGCTGGAGCCATGAGAGCGGCTTGCTTGCATTTAGAGAAGCTGTTTCTTGCCAGGCGTGTGATCTGTCGAACGCCGATGACAGCTAGATCGACAAATGCAGGCTGCGTACTATCCTCGTGTTGACACGTTGCACCGTGCAGGTATACCAGAAACCAATCCGGAGCTCAACGTATCTAAGCACTCGTGAGACAGGGTGCTGTTACGAGCGCCGCAGTCGATGCGTTGAAACGTCGGACCACTGCGCCAATGACAGCAGAGTGGCGGGCAGAGGGCGGATCATCTGAGTACAGGTCATCAAAAGGTCCTCAGAAATGATGTGCCTCGTGCAAGCAGCGAACACCACCAAGCAGGCTGTCTACCCGGCTGCACGCGAACGGAAATTCTGCAGGCCACGATGCAAACCGCATTCTGACGACCCACGAGACAGGCAGCACTCAAGGCAGTAACCCCAGCCTCCCTGTCAGCCTGTCATGCACCCATAAGAGTGCTGGAATGTGTCCCTGCAATGCTGTATACCAAGTCGAGTGCGATATTTTCTATTGCTGCACCGATTAAATTGCGTCGAACATGCCATCGATGACTATCATGAGTCACAGAATTGCAGACAAGAATGCATCAGGTCGATTCGAACCAGACGGCAAGAGACCGAGGACCCAAGCATGCAGGATTGAGCAGGTGCATGAGTTGTGAAGGGCCTGGATTTAGACTGGATTGCATTTGACGCGACATGCATGGTTGTGGGTTTGCGCATACGCCTGGTCGTCCCCTGCAGCCCCACCTCGGGACGGTCTCGTCTGCTGCGATGCGGTTCGCGGACATGCGGCGGACGACAGCCGTCACAACCAAGGCCGGATAGCGGTGTGTTATTTGCTACCCGCTCGCCCACTTGGCTGGGCAGCACCACGCACAACAGGGTCTTACCCTGTCCCTTGGAGGTGACCCGCTTCAACACACGCCGTAAAAAATACAAGCGTAAAAGACACAAGCTTAGTAGTAACGACAGAGTTGACGAGGATGGATACATCGGACAACTCCGACAAGCTCAAGCCGTTGAGGTCATGAAAGTACATTGCCACGAGGGACCACCCCTCGGGCGCAGCGGCCGGCGGCGCCCACGCGCCGGGGGCACGCGTGCCCGCGGCTCACGCCCCTGGCCGCGCCGCCGCCGCCGCCGCCCGCGCCGCGCGCCGCGCGGTGAACGCCAGCCAGCATGCCAGCAGCAGCAGCAGGCCCTGGATGACCATGTATATGGAGATGAACGCCTGCCAGCCGAAGCGCAGGTTGAGCACGGCGGACGTGCCGATGGCGGTGCCAGAGAGGCTGATGACGACCGTGTCTGTCGCACCCTGAACTACAAAGCGCCGCCGCGGCTCCCGGGCAAAGACGGCTGTGGGTGGCGATGCGTGTGGGTGTTGGTGGGTCGGGTGTGGTCGGGTCGGGTTCGAGCGGCCGGGGTTGGCGGCAAGAAAGGTGAGCGCGTCCATGCAGCTGGTGTTGAGGTTGTTGTCCGTCTCGCTTACATTGAGATAAGCAAATGCAACGGCAGCAGCAACCTGTGACAATAAGCGAGCCCCTGCCCCAAAGGACACGCGTTCTAGCACGCGCCGGGCGGAGCAGGCAGCGCCAGCGCTGGCCTCCTTGGGCCGTATCGGTCGGCGCCCTCCACACCCACCCAAGACAGCCGCAGTGGCCCCAACGTACGCAAAGTGCCACCCCAGCCCGATGACCACCATGCCCACGAAATATATCGCCTCGTGGTCTCCTCCATAGTAGGCGGCGTTGCTACAGGGGTGGAGGGGTGGCGTTGATTGTGATCATTGGGCTTTTTTGAAACTTTGTTCACAAGAGCAAGGCGGTGGGCGTCAGAATCCGCGACGAATTCAAACAGCGGTGACAGCTGGAGGAGCTATGACGCCCCAGGGGTGCGCGGGGGAGAGGTCTGGAGTGTGACTCATGGCAGGATCGGCCCGTGCCGCAGCACGCGTGAGCGCTGGGGGGCGGAGGCATGCAGGAGGGGCCAGGGCAAGGCGATGGAGGCTGGTGGGCGCGCGAGATCGCCGCTGCGGGACGCACCCAGCGAGCAGCAAGGCGCAGCCGAACACCGCCGATGCCGGGGCCCCCACTGCCCTGATCAGGTCAGCTGACAGCAGCCCTGTGGGGGTTGGAGGGTGCCGTAGGGCAAAGGGGTTCATGGGAATGTGAGTCGGTGGGTAGGTGGGGGCTGAGAGTCAGGAGTTGGATAAGGGTCGAGGAGGGCAGCCTTGCGTGTGCATGTGTCGGTGGGTGGGGAGGGCGGGGGAAGAAAAGGGGAGGGTGAGGCATGTGCCTGCACAGGGCAGCCAAGATGCCTGCCAGTGCCACGCGTTGCGTCCGCAGGGTGTACCAGACACAGGAATCATAAGCGTTTCAGAGCGCAGGCCAGATCGACACCCGCCCCGCATCATGAGTCAACCCTGATGACTCACCGGGAATGTACATGGCCACGATGTGGGCCTCAACCACCCATGTGCTCATGCTGACGGTCTGCGCCCCGCCAGCACCCACCATGGCCATCCTGCAAGGAAAGGGAGTAAAGAGAGGATGAGCTTGCAGGGGGGGCGTCCTAACTGGTGCGACGTTCCCCTTTTATACAGGCGATCAAGCAGTTACAGTCGCCAACGCAGAAGCTAATTGACTCTTGAATGTAAAGCGATGACGCAAGCACAAGGCCGGCGTGCCAGCCCTGCCCGTTGGCAGCAACCCCGTGCATCGCCGTCGTCAGGGCTCGGCCACCCCCGTGACTGATTCATCATGACTCACCGCACGGGCGTGATCGCCATGATGCCCGCCATCGCCATGAAGCTGCCGCCGCAGATCGCCGCCGGCACTAGGAACTGCTGATTCAGCAGCAGCTCCCTGTAGCTCAAAAGGGGGCGCCCCGGCAACGACGCGGAAGGCGGCAGGCGCTGCTGCTGCTGCTGCTGCTGCTGCTGCTGCTGCCCCTTATCCGCTTGCTGCTGCTGCTTCTGTGGTAGCTGCTGCTCCTGCTGCTCCTGCTGCTTCGGCTGCTGCTGCCCATTCTGCGCTTGCTGCACCTGCTTTTCCTGCTGCTGCTGCTGCTGCTGCTGCTGCTGCTGCTGCTGCTGCTGCTGCTGCTGGCCGTTGCCCTTCACAACGGCCAACGACGGCACCTCAATCACAGCATCATGCTGCCCCCCAACCTCTGAGTCCTTCAAGACCAAACCTGATTTGGCTCCATGCCCTGCCGGCAGAGGCGCCGCGGCGCACGTGGCGGCGGCGGCGGGCGCGGCGGCGTCCGCGTGGGCTTCCAGCCGCGCGAGGGCGCGCCAGTCTACGAGCAGCATGGCGCAGATCAGCAGGAGGTAGATGCCTATCAGCACCAGGAAGCCGCCGATGGGGGGCAGCGCCAGCAGCGCCTGGCGCGCGAATTCGGGGCCGACGGCCTGCGCGGCGCCGCGAGGGGAAAAAAGATGTGGTGAGCGGGGACGCTTGGGTGCAAACGGGAGACGTCAGTGCAAGCAGGACAATTGTTTGGCTGGAATTGAGATTGGGGCGGAGCACAAATCGCCACGCGGCTGGCAGGTTGCTTTGCTGTGAGGCAGTCTGTGTTGAATAGACTGGAGGCATCGGGGGCCGGCGCGACGCCCGGGGCCCTCCACGCGCGGGCGGAGGCATGGGGCGATCATGGGATCGGGCACTCACGGCGGCGGGCACGCCGCAGAGCACGACTATGGAGATGGCGCGCGGCTTGAAGGCCGGGGGGCTCAGCTCTGCGGCCATAAAGCGGTACTGGTTGCCCACTGAGAAGGCGGGGCCCTGCAGGTTTTTGGTTTTGGGGGGGGAGATAACGCGCATGTGACACGACACGCATGAAGATGGGTACTGTACCACATCCGAACGAGGGCGGGGCGCTTGTTCGGGTGTGATGAGCACAGGGGTGG